GTGGTGGAGATCGTGTAAACTGGTATAATATATGTATACATGTATACACACACTTCTGCTATAAAGTATATTCTATTGTATTGTCGTATGCTGCATTATAGTATGATTTGTTTTCAGCTGCCGTCTTCTGGATACTTTCTTCTTGCTATTCTACTACGGATCACCATCTTGGAGCGTTTCCTTTGCATCTGCGTTTGCAGGTCTGTCTGTCAGCAGCGGTCATGTTCGTCTCTTTCTCGGTTGCCATTGTGCTGCGGTTCAGGGCTTAGGGTTCAGGCTCCTTAAACCCACCAGACTCTACCCTAAACCCTTGCTAAGTAAGCGGCCCTAAACCCCTAAGCGGCCCTTTTCCCCCCCCACCCCCTCTCGAAGTATTTTTCAGGCTGGTGGCTGCCTTGGTGCGGGTCCCACCCTGGCCTCCCTCGGGCTTCTGGGGCGGAGCTTTGGTGCTGCTCGTGGGGACCCTGCAGTACCTGAGAGCCTCCGGCCCGGACCTCGGGAGTCGTGGAGGGCTCGTAGTTGGCTTAGATCGGGTTTGGAGGGCTCATCATATTGGGTTTATCATCGGGCTTACATTTGGCTTTTTGTAGAGTTTAGGGTTGAGGGCATAGGGTTTTAACTATAGGGTTCGTGTCTGCGTGGGATGATCGGAGGTGGCCATCCAGACTGGTGTCAGCCGTTGGTCAACCATTTTCATGTCGCTTCTTTCCTCTCTTGCTTTGGGCTGGCAGCCTGTGTCCGGACCAATCTTGCTTGCGCCATCAGGTGCTGCCACGAAGCAGAAGGACACCATACCAGCTCCTCGATGGTACCAGAACAGAGTCGATGGTCAGTCATTTCGCATGTTGGAGAGAAGATCCGTGTAGTCTACGCCCCAGGCTGAAGTCTGGAAGACGCCGAACTCCCAGGCCGTGCACCCGGCCTGGCTGCACGGGGTCTCGATCAGCACCCTTTAGCGAGCTGAGGCGGCATGGTCCCTGGCTACTGTCGCAGCGCGCGGCGGAGGTGCCGACGCCGTGCGCCGCGAGAACCTGAACTGGAGGCATGGTCCGTGTCTGCGTACGCACCAGTGATGCCTGCGACAGCAAACCCAGGTCCCGATGTTGTCTCCAGCTTTTTCATCTGCATGACTGGCATTATGATCAGTCTGATACGAAAGCATCACGGAGCTGCAATTTCCTGCATCTGCATCAGTGCTCGAGGCGTTTGAACCTCGTGCGCGTCAGGGACGGCATGAGCGTCTGAGTTAACGTTGGCTGGATCGGTGTGGTTCCAAGTGGCATGCGCCGGCCAAAGGGCAGCCGCAGCCACAGCCTTTCATTGTCGCTGCTTCATATGTAGGTCAGCTTGAAGGGCTACGAGTACTTACGGGCCGTTGTGATGGTCAGAGCAGGGAAGCATGAGCAGCTGAGCTAGCAAGCACCGATCTCATGCCTGTTTCTTGCTTCGATTGCTTTAGACGGCCAATGGGCCCTTTTTCCTTTACCTTGAGGCTTCTTAAGGAGAAAGAGAGCGATGCAGCTGCTCATAATGCCCACAAAGCTTTGACTGTGAGTAGCAGTGTCATAGCAGCTTCTAGGGCTCAAGGGCTGGCAACAGCGAGGATTCGCTATGCAACACTAGAGAGTCGAAGTGCATCCCACAACCAGCCAAATCGTCGAGTGAGATAACACTAGCCGAACGGCTGAACGTCCAGCTGCACATCTGCATGAATATCATGGTTCTTGCCTTCATGCAGGAAGACAAAGAGCACAGGCATGCTCGTCGATCGTGTTTTGCAAGCTTCATGGTTGCTGAGTGCCGTCGTCGGGCTGGAGACGCGGTGGCTGCAGCAGCCTATTGACCACAACAGCGCCTTTGCGGCGAAGAGAACACCGTGGTCCAAGTCACACTGGATCAGAGATCCCTGCTGCAAGCTTCAGGTGCCACCCCACACCAGTTACCAAACCAAGAAAGTGATGTCTTAAGCACGTTGGGGCTTGGTGCTCAAGGCTTGGATGTGAGTTGACAGCAATTGAGTCGCGGCGAAACTATAGATAGAGGCCGTCTGCACAGGTCGCCACTGGGATCCTAGGTTTTGAGCCAAAGCTCGGCAGGCTGGCACCTTCTAGTAGAGGTCGAAGAAGCCTTATGGGATCTAGCGAGAAGTGGAAGATCCCCTATATGCTCATCGAACTTCCCCCTCGCACACATGCCATGCTGCCAACATCTGGACTTCTGAAAAGCTCTTACACGCACACTCCGGTTTGAAACATGCAGAGACAACAAGCAAGGTCCTGCATCCGGTACGTTTTCTCAGCAGCCTGGTTGACATGAGAGAGCAGACCTCACCATTTTTGCAAAACCAGGTTTGCCGCTAGATTCAGATGCAGGTCACTGTATGCCATGATTCCTTTATTATAGTTAGTGCGTTTCCTTGAGGCACACATGAGGAGCCTAGATTTAACGCCCGTCCTTGTGTGGCGCAAGTGCGCTCCGGTCACTCTCCAAGGCGATACTTAGTCGACGCGAAGGCCGGTCATGAAAGTTACCATTGCGGAACAAGGAGCATGATCCTGTCCGCAAGAAAGCACCTGTCGCTCGCAATGCGGTAGGCCGACAATGGTGGGCCTTTGCTGTTTTTCTGCGGCAACGAGGGTGATGTGGAGGTAGTCGGGCACACAACTTATGTCGCGACGTTTCTGTAGGCCCGTAATGGCTTCTTTATTGCAAAGCTGCGTGGCAGGTCTTCGCGAACTTTAGCAAGTTCCTGGACGAGGCTGCAGTCTCCTGGCTAGCTATCCCTCGCAGATGCTCGCAGGATTGCACAACGGTCAGGACGAGTAGCGCTCGGGGTTGTGGGCATTGTCGGTTCGGAGAGCCAAGGGGGAACACTTCCGAGCGAAAGTCGAAGTTACTCCCATGATACCCGAGTAACATGCCCAGGCTGCTCTGCAGGGTGAGGTGGTCTTTGCAGAGCACCGCTTTTACGGCCAGAGCTTGCCCTTTGGCCTCGACGCTTTCCAGCTCTTTAGCACGGAAGTCGGGGGAGTCTGGCAGGGGGCTGTAGTGCACGCACAGGATACATCGTTTCGGCGAAGCCTGTGGGAAAACTCAGGACTTCAGCCTGGATCACATCCGGTTCCTAACGGTTGAGCAAGCCTTGGCAGACTATGCCCGTCTCATCACGTCCTCTGTCCTGCATACAACGAACAGTGAAAGTGTAGTGCTTGTGGCACCGGTCTTGAACATGTCAAGACGAGACTTTCCATCAGGGATAGTTTCGGCAGCATGGCCGAGGTTTCTGACCGCCTCCAGACAGCGCAAAGTCGTTGCGTTCGGTGGCTCTTATGGCGGTATGCTGAGCAGCTGGATGAGAGCAAAGTGCCTTTGACTTAACCGTGCCTCGATTCTTGTCTCTGCGCGGAATTTGCCCTGTCCTCTGGCACAGATACCCATCGCTTGTGTTCGCTGCTGCCACTCGGCTGAGTCATGACCACGAGCTTCAGCTCGCTTCAGACTCATAGTTAATCTGGCCTCATCGTTTGGTCTGTAAGGTCTCCTCCTCCGCACCTTTGCACTTTGACCGAGTTGGCGGGTCCTTCTTCAAACTGATGACGGATGCTGCGGAGGTCACTGCTTGTTGCGTCGTCATACAAAATCACAAAATGCAGTCCCCTTCATCAGACTTGCCAGCTGCGTTCCCTTGCATGCGCAGAATTGTTCGTTTCTTATTTCTTTACTACCTCGATGTACATACCTCGACTTTGCGAGACTGCTCCGGTTCCATTTAAGATACGTCATGAGTTCTCAGACCGGTTGTGGTAGCGATGCTGGGCGGAGAGATGCGGAGTGGCTCCAACAGTTCAGCTGTCAAGAGTCAAGGGGCTTTTCGCCGCAGGAGATGGACTCCGGCTGCGCTGACAGGGTACGGATGGGTTTCGCCGCACTCGAGGCAGCGCAGCTCGTCTACAACGGTAGTTGCATCCTGTCACGGAATGAACTTTCATTGGTGGGTTGGCATCTAACACAGATGCCTGCATGGAGCGCAAGTTCTGCTTCTAGCATCTGCGGCGGTCTGGTGGGAGGCTTACATTCCAAGCCAGAAGCCATCCAGCCAAGGAGTGCTAGTTCACTGCAGCGTGCTTTTGGGCTCTGCAGCCCACCGTTGGACTTGAACGAGCTGGTTTTATGGGCACGGAATGCCTTCGTCACTGACACTCGGATGCATCATCCGCGGAAGATGCCCTCAACTATTGCAGTCTAACATGCTGGCGGCAAAGAATGCCAACAGTTGCGCAAGATTCGAAGAAACAGGCTCTTTTGTAGCATCTGAGCTCGGTGGCTGCCCCCCATACCGAAGTCCTGACGAGCATCATGAGGTGGCCATGGGCAACTATCCCTACGCAGGAGAACTTTTCGGCAAAGGCTTGCAGGCCTGGCCACTGCGTGCAGCTTGCCGAGAGCTGCATGGCCACAAGCCGCTGGAGTCCCTTGCGGCTGCTGTGGGTTCCTACTACAACGCCACAGGCCTTCGGTCATAGCATGGTTTAGGCGCAAGACGATGTGTCTCTCGGGCCCGGCAGGGAAGGTGCACTGCCACAACATCAGCCGCGAGTACCGCGACTGCGCTGATCAAACCGGTTGTGGAACTGCCGATGCTGCATGGGGACGCTCCTGGGACATCGAAGCGTGCAGACAGATCGTGTATTTTACATCGACGAACAACGTGACCGACATGTTCCCACCAAGAGCTTGGGGATTGGAAGAGCTTTCACAGTACTGCAGCGGTGTTTGGCAAATACAACCGCTGTCCAACTGGTTCTTGCCCTGGTTGTGACTCGGGCAGAATTGGAAGATTCTCTCTGTGCCCCGCCGAGGGCTATGTTGTGAAGTCTGGGAATTCACGGCCATGGTTCCAAAGCTACTTTCCGATGCGAGAAGGTCATCTGTGAACACCAGCAGCCGCATCATCTTCACCAATGGCCTGCTGGATCCATGGCGCGGCGGTGGCGTGTACTGGCCTGAGTTTCTCGTTTCCGTGTAGCAGTGTAAAAACGCTGAGGGATTCGACTCCGTGTCAGGATGCAGTCTCTTTCCAGCACGCTGGTCTCGCTGCAGATCCCCGGAGGGGCCCACATCTACGACTTGGCAGGCGACCACGTGGACGACGTTCCGGGAGTTCGCGCCGCCAGGCCTGGTCCGAGTTCAGTGCCCTTCGTGTTCCAGTCATTTGCATGGCCGTGGTGTTATGGAAGATGTGGAAGGCAGCGCGTGCTGACCATGCTACGGCTGTGGTTGGGCATGCCCCACACTGCCGAATTGGTGGTTTGAAAATGCATGCGACATCATCCGTCTCACGAGAGCTGCATTATTCGCAGTCTTCTCCACCTCCGCAAATGCTCGTCTTGAGTCTGCGAGCACGCACACATCAACGGTAGGAACATGCTTCAGTCCGTCGAGTAGAAGAGGACACAAGAGGGACGCCAAGATGCATACAAGCCAACTCGGTTGGACCATTGCAGTTTTGAAGCATCTACTTGCTCTAGCACATTAGGGGTCATATTGCTGGAGCCATAGCCGAAGGTGCAGAGAAGCGTGTTTGGAGCTGCTTTACGTGCCATGGTGCCTCCAAAGACTTTTGAGGTGTCTCGCTCGCGGTCTAGGAAATGGGACCTGGAGGTGAAGAGCATAAGCCGTGACGGGCAGGACTGCGTTGGTGCCTGTCATTGGGTGTTCAAGTCAACATCTCGATCGATCCCAACGGACCTCGAAAGTCGCAGTATGCCGCTGGATCCTGTGGAGCTCTGGAGCAAGACCAGGAGTGCGGATGCGCACTCCCGGCCCAGCTGGTCAGTTCCCTCTGCTCGGCCTTGTGCCCTGGAGCAGTGGAGGGACAAAGCTCCAGCAAAGCTGGAGTCCAAGCAGCTACTTGCGGGGCCGAGCTACTGGCAATCACATGGCAACGGCCAGGGCCGCTACGGCTGCTCTGCAGGGCATCTAGCCGCCTCTACCGCTCCCGCCGCTCCCCACCGACATCAAACCTCGCGCCCTTCCACAGAACAGGCTTCAAGGTTGGATCGAAGAGGCAGATGGCGAGATGGCGCATCCTATACCAGCAGCTTAAGAGCCTCGAGCTTGCCTCTTGTTTGAACGTGCTGCCTTTAAGCTGGTCGGCTGGCTGCCCGGAGTGATGTGCAGTCTTGAGTCTAAGGTTCATTGGGACTTTGGAGGAGGAGCAGATCCGTGGACGGCACAGTGGGCCAAAGTTCAGCCCAACTGCGGCCAAGAAGCTGCGTGACCTCACGACTGTCATTCTAACATCCCGGTAGGACACCTAGGACCTAGAGCCTTTGATAGCTACTGCCAGATGGCAAGCCATGCATAGCATTGCCTGCCCCATGACGGTCACGTGCTGGCAAAACATGGCAGCTTGCGTGCACCCCGCTTGAAGCTTCTTGTCTAAATTTCCGAAGACGTCTTCAGACATGTTGGGTCTTTGCTGCAGCCCGAGCATCTTGCAACATAGAGCGGCATAACCTGCAGCCGGCAGACCGTAGCATGAGCGATTTCAATCGTGCCGGTCGCATCTCATAGAGCACTTAGGACTTACAACAGAGATGCCACGAGCTTTTCCGAGCCATGAGTGACAGGTCCCATCAAATGTAAAGCATGCTTTGCTTCCATGGCCTCGGATCCGGGCATTCCCGTCACCCAGCACCTCTCCGTCTCGGAGGTAGAGGCCGCACTAGCCGTTGAGATGCCGAGTCATAACTCGCCAGCCTAGAACTGCCGTGCAGGATTTGTACAACGCTGCTCTGGCCGACGTCCAGGAGGCAGTGACCGCTGAGCAGCGAAAGGAAAGAGGACAGCGACTGGCCGCCCTCTCCAAGGTCTCACGGAGGGGAGAGCAGAACATGCACTCTACCTGTCTCCGTAGCTTTAAGTATACCTCGCATCATCAAGCTATGACCAATAGTCTCAAGACATACAATGCACATGCATCACCCGGTGTCATGCAGCAAGCTATTTCTGTCTTGCCCGCCCACCCGCTACATGTCATGAGTTCATAAAGCAAAAACACCCTACTCAATGTCAATATCTCTCATCATCGGCAATTTGCCCACTACATGGTCGAACTTGTTATCCCAACAAGTCATGTCCCGGCCAAAGAGGGCATGACATGACATGACCCCTGAAGGCATTGCGAGCTGCCAAGCGGAAGCCGGCTGAAAAAACCAAGATCCTTGCACGAAAGACTTGTAATTGCGACAAAGAAAAGGGGAGTAAGAATTAACAACAAGTAGCAATACCGATAAGGGTACTCATAGCTTATGGAAGATGCTATTTGCTCAAGGGATTTTCGGCTCGCTTAGAATGAATCGACTCATCTCGGGATGTTCATGCTGTTCGGTTCGATGTCGGCCCAAAAACCAGGCGCATAGCATCCCTCCAAATTTTCTTCATATCACGCTCTTGGAATCGACCGTGTGAAGAAGCAGCCTTTTTGGTTACCACCGGTGGCCTCGACCTCCTTCTTGGGTAAAGGCGTGAAAGGAAGCTTGTGGAAAGCGAGGCTACTCGGAGGAAACCGGGGCTGGAACACCTGAGTGACAGAGCCGAGGCTTCGGAAGGTTGGAGATGGAGGGTTTGAGGGTTTAGGGTTTAGGTTAGGACGGCTGCTCGTGAATGCGCTGTCTCTGTGCGGTGAAACGGGCCGCGAGTTCGGTCACCCCTGAAACTGAAGCCCTAAACATATGAAGCCTGCAGCTGTAATCCAGCCTTTGCGGTTGCTTGAGTCGTTTCTGTTCGGTTTTAGTGGTACCACCGTACAGCAACGACAACAAGAGCAGCAGCAACAACAACAACAGCAACAACAACAACTGCTAGACTACATCTACAACTACAGCTAATTACATCTGCAGCTACTGCCACTGCTACTGCCAGGGAAGAGTAAGTAGTAAATAGCAAATATTGAGTTGACATGGTAGTATGATGTAGTATGCAGCCGGCGGAAATGAGTATCAACAGTTGCAAGGTTTTCCAGTAAATACATGGTATTTAGGGAAGGGACGAGCCTGCAGCCACATTGGGACTCTACATGGTCCTTGCCGAGGAGACCCGAGTGGCTGAGCTATCCCGAGCCGACGGCTCTCCCCCGCTGCCCTGAGGACCAAAGGTACGTGGGATGCTCGGATGTCTGTGTGTGCCAGTCTATATTATATTGTATAGATATATGATATAGGTATACCATAATATATATATATACACTATGTAAACAGTCCTTGCAGCACTCTCGGCTAAAGAAGCCCAGGTGAAGAGCTACAGGACCGACGATGGTCAAGGAGCCAAAGAGTTCTTTGAGCAGTACGGCTTCGTGGTGTTCCGCGATGTCCTCGAGCCAGCTGAGTGCGAGAAGCCCAGCTTGATGTGTGTAGTGCGGTGCTCTTTACAAGCTGTCGAAGCCACCACCCCTTAAACGAGGTGAAGCTACTGTGTCCGAAATCTGGACATCTCTGGAGGAGCGCACTCCAGGCTCAATGGCCAAAGCAATTCCTGAAGCTCGCTTCCTGTTTTAGCATGCCAAAATCCCATGACCACTTGACGTTGGGTGCCTATCTAGCCTGACGGCATCGGCACCAAAGGGAAACCCTAGTATCCATCTCTAGGAGCAGGAAAGGGTGGCACAACTCCAGAACTCTAGAGACACGGTTCAAGATTAGCACCGCTGCTGCTTGTTTGCAGCCTGCTGGCGCGCACACACTGTGATGATTACGGCTCATGATTTCCTTGCATTCTCTGCTATTTTTACAATGATGGCGATGATGATGTTGTTGATGATGGTTATGATGATTCTGACTACTGCTACTGCTACTATTGCACTACGACGACGACGACGACTACGACTACTACGACGCAAACGACTACTACTACTACTACTGCTACTACTACTACTACTACTACTACTACGACGACGACGCCGACGACTGCTACTACGACGACGACGACGACTACTGCTACCACTGCTACTACCACTACGCTACCGCTAGAGGTACCACGACCACTACCACTACCACGTCAACTGCGACCACGATGGTGACAGTCGCTGCTGCTGCCATTGTGACGACTACTGCTAATACAGTCACTCCTACTCCTGCTAGTGGTGGTGGTGGTGGTGGTGGTGGTGGTGCTGCTGCTGCTGCTATTACGTCGACTACGACGACGGCGACCGCTGCGGTCATCATTATGGTTACCATTGTTGGTATTGTACCTGTCATTGCCGCAATTAGTCATTATTCTTCCTAATAGACGTCGCCATCATCATTATCATCATCATCATCATCACCCATCACCAGCATCATCAACATCGTCATCGTCATCCTCCTCATCATCATCATCATCATCGCCATCAGTATCATTGTCAATATCATAATGGGCAGGTTTTTGGTACTCGTAGGGTTTTTTGGGCACTGAAGGCTCTTTCTCTGAGCGGCGCTCAACAGCTTCTCGAGCATGCATGGACAGAGACCGAAGAAAGCCTCCGCTCTGTCCAGGGTTTAATACGATCTCCGCCATCGTGGACAGGGTCTAAAAAGCCTTCTCTCCATGACCAAAAAAAGCCTTCCCCTCAGCAGACAGGGCTTTCAGTGGCCCGCTCCCTGCCTTCGCGGGCGGGCTCCCCGCCCTCCCTTGGCTGGCTTCCTGCCCCCTCCCGTCCTTCGTCGGCTCCCTGCCCTTCTCGGGCTCCCTGCCCTTCGGGGGCTTCCTGCCCGTCGCCTTCGCCTTCGCGTGCTTCAAGCCCTTCGCAGGCTCGCTGCCCTTCGTGGGCTTCCTGCCCTTCGCGGGCTCTCTAGTCTCTCTCGAACGGGTTGCTCCTTATTCTCAAATTCCCTATTCTGCTTCGAGCGGCTTGCTCCCGTGTTCTCAAATTCTCTAGACTCTAGTCCTTTTCGAGCGGTTTGCTCGTTGTTCTTAAATTGTGTATTCTTTTCTTATATTCTGTAATCTCTTTCGAGCGATTTGCTCCTTGTTCGCAAATTCTCTAGTGTCTTTCGAGCGGATTGCTCCTCGTGTTCGACACTTCTAAGTTCCTTTGGAGTTCCTTGCTCTCAAATTGTTCTAGTCCTAGTCTCTTTCGCTTGGTTTGCTCCTTGTTTTCAAATTCTCCAGTCTGTTTGGGCGGTTTGCTCGTTGCGCTAGTCTTTTCGAGCGGTTTGATCGTTTTTCTCAAATTCTCGAGTCTCTTTCGCTTGGTTTTGTTCTTATTCTGAAACTCTCTAGTCGTTTTCGAGCGGCTTGCTCCTGTTGCTCAGATGATCCAATCTCTGAGGAGCGGTTTGCTCCCTGTTCTCAAATTATCTCGTCTCATGCAAGCGGTTTGCTCCGTGTGTTCCCAAATTTTCTCTTTTTTTTCGAACCGTTTGCTCCTTGTTCTCAAACTCTCTGGTCTCATTCGAGCGGGTTGCCCCTTGTTCTGAAAATCTCTTGTCTCATGCGGGCGGTTTGCTCCTTGTTCTGAAATTCTGTAGTCTTTTCGAGAGGTTTGTTCCTTCTTCTCAAAGCCTCTAGTTTCTTTCGAGCGGTTAGCTCCCGGTTCTCAAAGATTTGTGGCCTTCTTCGAGCGGTCAGGCGGTCAGCTCCTTGTTCACAAAATCTCTGGTCTCTTTCGAGCGGCTTGCTCCCGTGGTTCTCAAATTCTCTAGTTTGGTTCGATCGGTTTGTTCCCGGTTTTCAATTTTCCCTGTCTCTTCGAAATTCTCTAGTCTCTCTCGGACGGTTTGCTCCTTGTTCTCAAATTTTTCTACAGCGGCTTGCTCCCGGTTCCTCAGATTCTCTAGTCATTTTCGATCGGTTTGCTCCTGGTTCTTGAATTCTGTAGTTTCTTTCGTAAACCCTGAAATCTCTCCTGGCGGTTTGCTCCGGTTCGCCCGGTTTGCTCCGTGTTCCCACAGCCTCGAGGGTCTTTCGAGCGGCTTGCTCCCCTTTCGAGCGGTTTGCTTCTTCGTTTCACCATCTCTAGTCTCTTCCAAGCGGTTTGCTCTGTTACCTGTCCCTTTCGAGCGGTTTGCCCCTTTGTTTCAATATCTGTAGTCTCTTTCGAGCGGATTGTCCTGGTTTTCGAAACTTCTAAGTCCCCTTGGAGTTCGTTGCTCTCAAATTTGGGGCGGTTTGCTCCTTACGCTAGTCTTTTTCGAGCGGTTTGATCGTTTTTCTCAAATTCTCGAGTCTCTTTCGCTTGGTTTGGTTCTTGTTCTGAAACTCCCCTAGTCGTTTTCGAGCGGTTTGCTCCTGTTGCTCAAATGATGCAATCCCTGAGGAGCGGTTTGCTCCCTGTTCTCACATGACCTCGTCTCATGCGAGCGGTTTGCTCCGCGTGTTCCCAAATTTTCATATTTTTTTCGAACCGTTTGCTCCTTGTTCTCAAATTCTCCAGTCTTGTTCGACCGGTTTGCGCCTTGTGTTCTTAAGTTGTCTAGTCTTGTTTGAAGGGTTTGCTCGTCCTTCTCAAAATCCAAATCTCTGTCGCTTGGTTTGCTCTTTGTTCTGAGATTCCCGAGTCCCATTCGAGCGGATTGCTCCTTTTCTAGAGTTCTCCAAAGCTCTTTGAGCGTTTTGCTCTGTCTTCTGAAATTCGGTAGTCTCTTGCGAGCAGTTAGTTGCTTGTTCTCAATTCTGTAGTCTCTCTCGAGGGATTTGCTCCGTCGTCTCAAAGCCTCGAGTCTTTTTCGAGCGGTTTGCTCTGTTCTCAGAAATTCTATGGCCTTTCTCGAGCTTTCAGCTCCTCGTTCACAAAATCTTTGGTCTCTTTCGAGCGGCTTGCTCCCGTGCTCTCAAACTCTCTAGTTCAATCGAGCAGTTTGCTCCTTGTGTTCTCAAGCTGTCTAGTGTTTTTATATCGGCTTGCGCCTTTTTGCTTAATTTATGTAGTTTTTTTCGTTTGTTTTGTCCACTGTTCTCAAATTCTGTAGTCTCGTTCGAGTTGCCGAGTTCATGTCATGCGAAGACAGGAACGACCAGGAACGAGCTGCCAGTGACATCGACATTGTGCTTGGTGCATTTGTTGAATGGAGTCATGGCTGTGGTGTCAGGGTGTACAACCGCAGCCTTTTTCAAGCCCGGGCGCAAAAACATTCAAAGGTATCATGGCACCACCAGGCCAGCACAAGCAAATCAGCAGGATCGCAGTCGCTTTCATCCCATAATGGTCATGTTGTCTGCAGGCTTGCTTGCCATCCTGGTCA